ATTCTGCTATCATGAATTGTTTTTATCCCCATTCGGTGGGTAAAGCATTTTAATATGGATAAACAGAAGAAACCCAGGAAGAGAGTCATTTAATTGATGTACAAATGTCAGTTATGTATTTAAAAAGCAACACAGTTTCTTCTTATTCACTCTTGTTAACTTCTATGTGCAAATTTATGTTATGGGAAGCATGCTCCTGAACAGACCTTTTATTTTATTTTATTTTTTTTTTATCCTCACCTGACGACATTTTTCCACTTTTTTGTTCAGATAGAGTGGGAAGGAGAGAGAGGAAGAGAGAGAGAGAGAGAGAGAGAGAGAGAGAGAGAGAGAGAGAGAGAAACATTGACATGAAAGGGACACATTGAGTGGCTGCCTCCTGCATGACCCAACCAGGGTGGGGGACAAACCGCAACCGAGGTACATGACCTTAGTGGGAACTGAACCCAGGTCTCTCTGGACCACAGGTCAACACTCTTAACCGCTAAGCCAAACTGGCCAAGGCTGAACAGACCTTTTAAATATGACTAGACATTATGTACTTGAGGCATATTTTACAGAGATGGCTCCTTTTTCTGTCCTGGGGTGAATCAAAAGGATCATCACATGACACTTGGTGAGGTTTAACCTCTGTGGCTGTATGCCTCCATGTACCTGCCATTCAAACAAATGGCCCTCATTTTTGCTACTTACAGAAGCTCATGCATCTAACTGAGCTCACATAGCTCAGATAAAGTTTTATTTAACTGAGCAAATGTCATATTTGGTGGCATACTTGTAAAAATCTGTTAGAATATGAAAAAGCCTTTAAAAGTGTCTCCACATACAAGTTCATAAGTATAACTATGAAGTTAAATAACACAAGTTCATTTAAATGTTGAGAAATATGTAAATCAATACAAATTCAAATTCTTTATAAAAAGTATGTATTCTCTAGGCAGCTAGAACAACTGAGAGCTACGATACATGCATGCACACCAGCTCGGCCCCAAACCAGCTTCTAGAAGGCACCACAGGCAATGCCCATGCCCACCTCGACTCCACTCAACCTGCCAAACCACCAGGTGTATTCAACACAGAGGCCTCTTCTATACAAGGCTGCTTTTTCAAGTCTGGGAGAGAGAGCCATTCCATTTCATTCTTAGGAGCCAACACAGAAAGTCAAGCAAAATTGGGAGACCAAAGAATATGCCTCAAATGAAGAAAACAACTCTAATGAAATGAAGATAAGTAATTTGATAAAGAATTCAAAGACTGGGTCATAAGGATGCTCAGCAACCTTGAAAACAGAGGAACTCATAAAGCACTTCAACAAAGACTTAGAAAATATAGTTAAGAACCAATCATAGATAAAGAATACAATCATTGCAAGGAAAATTACACTAGAAAGAATCAACAGCAAACTGATTAATGTGGAAGGGCAGATTAGTGACCTAGAAGACAGAATAGTGGAAATCATCCATTAGAACAGTAAAATATAAAAGGAGGTTAGTATAAGGGACCAAAAATAATGAGTGGCACATGATGAATAAAGCACAACATGCCTTGTGGTTTCCATGGTTATTACTACTGTTGTCTTCATAATTACCCTGATTAGTACTAGTATTGCTGCTGATGCTGCTACTGTTCAGGTTAAACGTAATCTGTCTTTGACACAAAAATTCCTAAGGTGTCAGAATCACTGTCAATGTTAATAATCACTAAGTTATCATAACGATAAAGAGGAGATTGGGCTAAATATTTACTACCTCTACAGTATTCCCTAAAAATGGGGAAATGGCCCAGCTGATGTGGCTCAGTAGATTGAGCATCATCCCATGTAACAAGAGGTTACCCTTTCAATTCCTGGTCAGGGCACATGCCCAGGTTTTGGGCTCAGTCACCAGTGGGGGCATGCAGGAGACAGCCAATGAATGTTTGTCTCTTGTTGATGTTTCTCTCTCTCTCTCTCTCTCTCTCTCTCTCTCTCTCTCTCTCTCTCTCTCCCTCCCTCCCTCCCTCCCTCCTTCCCCCTTCCTCTCTCTCTAAAAGAAAATTAATTTAAAAAATGTTTAAACACTGACCTCATGGGAGACCGTTTTTTCCTATTTTCCTCTTGATTCCTTAAGAGATGGGATTGTTGTTTTTGTGTTATCAGGTTGATATTTGAGTCTGATATATAAGCATCAAACTCATTTGGTTAAAGAGAACTATGTGACACACTGATAAATTCCTTTATACCTTCTTAACTAATCTCCTCATGTTTTAACAAAATAATAATAATAAGGGTAAACTAAGAAGTCATAACAGAACTTAAGTACATGTTTCATGAAAAAATAAACAAAATGCTTTGTGATGGGTTTAAGAAAGATGTAGACTCTGTGACAGGTACTAGTCTAGATGCTCACAGAAGAACCCTCTCTCTGTCAAAGGCAAGGTGCGCAACCAAGGAATCTCTACTATCACAAGGAATGTGTCTTTTCTGAAAGAGTAAAAACAGCACAGGCACCTCAGAAAATACCAGTGCACTGACCACAGCCTAACTTTCTAGAAGACAGATCACAGAAAAATTATCTGGCTATATATAGATATTTAAAGAATGACTGAATTTCTAGTTTCAACTGTATATTAAAATTGCTTAAAATACCTCCATAAACACATGCCACAGCATCAAGGGCTATTAATTTCACTGGAAATGAATCATGAGGTACCAAAATGTCTGCACATACAATCAGTATGCATTTCCCATAAAAGGGGGAACAATTTGCATTCATCCTGAAAATACATTTTCCTGAAACAAAACTTTAAATGTCTCAAGTAGAAGGAACGGATAGATTTTTCTTCCAAATACAACGAAATTAAGTAAAATGAGGTTTTTTGGGCAATATTTCATGTTGAAGCAGATTTTTCTCTCTCCAACATGTAGGGAAACATACTTTATCCCTCTAAACATGGACTTGAAATGCAGAGCTCAGTACCAAGACCCAGGCCAAGAAAATGCTTAACAAACTTATCAGAGTCATGATGCAGACTGTGCCATAAACCCTGCTTGAAGCTGAAGGTAACAGTAGCATCACCATCAGTAAGTGTCAATTATGACATTGGCAAAGTCTCTTACCCACAGTTTATGAAATGTCTGTTTATGAAATGTCTCAATGATGGAGTTAAGTGGTTATGTTTAGATGACTTTTAACACAGATGCACTGTTCATTGTTAAAGAGGCCATCGTGTGCCAGCTAGCTGAATTTGAACTTTTGATGAGTTAGATATAAATCTTATTTTAATAAGCTCAAAACTGAATACTATGTCAAATAAATCACAAAATCCTATAGTCTCAAGCATCGTATGAGGCATCTTCCGTATCTGTGTTCACTTGAAAGAAAAGAGTGGTGATGGGAGGTGGGAAGGGCATGGGTTGCTTTTCTGAGCATTTCCTCCCTGGACCAGAGACACCCATGCAGCCACATCTGCCCGTTCACCGAGTGACAATCACGCGGCCACACTCTCCTCCCACATTCCCTCCCCAGACAGCTTTTCCATCTCTGACACAATCTATGAGAAGAGATACAATGACTCTGCCTAAGTGTGCTATATGCAAAGATACCATGGAAGCAATTATAAAAATATTTACTTCCGCCACAGAAAAGGTGGTTTTCCATTTACCTTTATTCCCCTGAACACTATCCCCTTGGCCAAACATTATTATGACATGAGTGGCTGTCTCGTTTTTTACCTTTACTGGGCATAGTCACTGATATTTACAAAGCCCTCCTCCCTCTGTCAGCTGGGGTGTGTGTTAAACAAGTATTTATTCCCTGCCTACAATGTACCTGGTGCTGTCAGATTTACCGCCGTCCCTGACCTAAGATCACCAGCAACCTGGTGCTGTGCAGTAAGTGGTTCTGAGAATTTCAGCCGCATAGTGTTCGGGTTTGTATCATCATCAGATCAGTAGCAATGCCGGGGGTGAGCCTGCCCACCGGCTCCGCTAGAAGCTCCAGGAATCCAGCTGCTCCTTTTGAAACCACCCCCGCCCTGTCTAGGGCTCTGACACAGACATGGATGGGGGTAACTCCGGGTCACACATCTAGCTGCAACTTCCAGGCCAGAGGCTAAAACTGTACAAATCATCCCATCACACAGCACTCATCTGGGGACACTGGGCCACGGATTCATGTCTCTCTCCTTCCCTGACCCCAAAAGACTGAGCTGCTTGCCATCCTCTAACCTCCACGCACTCCCCTGCTCCCAAACGTGTTAAGAAATGTGGCCACTCCCTATTCAGGGTAAAGGATGAGTGCTGATAGCCATACTTCTATCTGGGCTCACTATTACCAGGATTTACTCCACTTTTCTGAATGACACCCCTGAGAAATTGACAATATCATTTCATGATCAAGTCCGCTGGGTGGATTCGTTGAAAGTGCTGCTTGGGAATTTTTTGGTTTTTTTTTTTCCAAATGCACTGCCCTTTCTTTTTATGACTCAGGATAGATCAAAGGGTCTACCGCAGAACGGAACGGCGGTGTTGGAACTGGACACAACATTTTCCTCCATATGTCAAGTACAGTGTGATGTCTAGCTGGGTCCTACTCAGCATCGGCCTCAGTGACAATGCAACGAAACACCAAACCCATTACCAGTTACAGACGACTGGGACCCTGGCTTACTCCTTGCACACTCTTCCCTTTTCCCCATTCATAACGCATCTCAGACTGATTTCCATCAAATGACAATGTATTTCTAGACAACTAATTCTGGAATCAAACAATTGCTGAAAATGTGAAAACATGTAACAAAAGGCTACAAATAAAATAGTCAGGACATTATCACTCGGTTAGTGTTTGTTGACTTGGGCTACTCTCCCCTACCCACATGTTCTCCGGTTCCAATCTCTAACATCTGCTGGAGGACTGTGCACTTTACAAGCCCAGAAACGATTTCAAAGATTTTTTCTAATGCAAATTCACACTTTACGCCTGAAACACCATCCAGTTTCAGAAAACGCACACAGTACTCACTTGCTTAGCCTTGGTCTTCGTGATTGTGTCAGAAATAGGCTTCTTCCTCTCCTTTACAGCAGTTTTAGAAAATAATTCCTCAAATTCATGACAATCTATGGATGGCTCTTCAATTTTTTCCCAAATAAGTGAAGTACTGGAGTCTCTAAAGTGAAGCAAAACAGCAATTGAAAGAGCCATCAAACGGAACTATGACACATGGTGGTCAGAATAAATACACAGGAGGAAAGGGAGAAAAGAAGCTCAGAAAAATAAGAAGGGGATGAGGAGGAGTCAGGAAGGAAGGAAGCACCGAAGGAAGGAACGAAGAGGAAAATGGGCGAGGAAGGGCAAAAGGGAAATACTCTTTTTCTTCAAGATCACTGTTTGCTTTAGCAACTTGATAAGAAAGTCAAAACATCATCAATGTAGAAAGAAACCTTTGCCTAGCAATAATAATTGCCAGGAATTCTCAGCTATTAAGTCAGTGTATAAAAACAGAAGGAAAAACCCCCTCAGAGTGGGCGACAGAGGCAGGAAATGTCTGATATCTCTCAATCCCAACCTGACTCATCAGCTTGTACATTATTTATGGGTTAAAAATGAAATCATTTAATAATCAAGTCAGTACCTTCCCCCACGCCATCGTCACCTGGTTTCACAATAACTACAAATTCATGTAATGCCACCTGAAAAGGGTAGATTCGTTTTAAAAAGGCAAAACACGAACAAACAAAAAACCAGAGCAAAAAACTTCATGTAATATATCCGGATAAAAGTGGTTTGGGGGCAGTTTTCAATGATGCATCAACATAGATAGGTAAATGCAACTACATAGAGAATGAGAACAAAGGTCGAGGTAGTCAAAATATAGAGATTTCCCCCCAATAGGATTCAGCAAAGAGAAAAATATATTAATATAAGAAATGAGAACAAGCCTGATGAATATCCTACTTCTAAGTCCATGTCACATCACACAAACAAGATTCAAGGAACCAGGAAAAGTGCATGATTTTTCTCCCATTGGTACATTCCACGGCCCTGCCTCAGGGATCCCGGGGCACAGCCCACGGTCCAGGCACAGATAAGTCATATGCCACCAGCGGACCTGGGGGAGGTCTTCTTTATAAAGATCATTGTCGACTATGATGAAGACTCCACACTGTGCCCCAATCTTCTATAAAAGTGCCATAAAATTCTCAAAGCGAAATTATTTCATACCTAAGGTGTAGATGTGTGTGTAGCACATTAGTGTAAAGAAAGACAACTGCAAACAAAATGCAATGGTAAAACAAGACTGATCCACATTTACAAATTAGTGGTCAGAGTGGGGGTCTGCAACAAGGCAACAGGGCAGGCAGCTAAGTAAATACATCCCTCTCTTTGAAAGATCAGTCAACACCTAGATAGACAGAGAGCTGTGCATCGTATGCATTGATACCTGTATGCCATTTGTTCTTTTCCTTTTTATATTTCTGGAGAAAAGTAAAATTTTAAATAAGATTGTTTCACTAAATATTGACTTAAAAATCTACAAATTTTAGAGCAGTACTTTAAAGTACACTCATTTGTAATTTCCCCGAGTTAGAAAGGAAAATACTTCCCTCATGTTGCCAAACTGAGCAAAAACGAGCTCCCGTTCGCGTTACCTTTTGCTGTGCAGTTGAATTCTTGTCCAGTACAGAGGCTTCATGGGCCGACAAGGCTCTATCGGCTGCTTCCTACTCCCTTTGTCCTGGTTCACCCCTAATCCAAACCAGCCAGTTGGCATCGGAGGGGGGAGAAATCCACACACTTGGGGCGCTGGTAAAGTGCTACTCCCGCCGTGCGGGGTGAGCAGAGGGCCAGATCCAGGCGGCAGAGCAGGTGCTGGCGGGGCTGCGGGGGGAGCTGGAGCAGGTGGAATACCCACACCTGGCAGAGGAGGAGGTGGGGGGATCCCAACTCCCGGCAGAGGAGGGGGAGGGGGAATTCCCATCCCTGGAAGGGGCGGGGGAGGGGGTATTCCCACTCCGGGAAGAGGAGGGGGAGGGGGTATTTCCACCCCGGGAAGAGGAGGGGGAGGAGGTATTCCCACCCCGGGAAGAGGAGGAGGAGGGGGTATTCCCACTCCGGGAAGAGGGAGGTATCCCGGGAAAGGAGGGAGGGTATTCCCACTCCGGGAAGAGGAGGGGGAGGGGGTATTCCCACCCCGGGAAGAGGAGGGGCAGGGGGTATTCCCACTCCAGGAAGAGGAGGGGGAGGAGGTATTCCCACCCCGGGAAGAGGAGGGGGAGGAGGTATTCCCACTCCGGGAAGAGGAGGGGGAGGAGGTATTCCCACCCCGGGAAGAGGAGGGGGAGGAGGTATTCCCACTCCGGGAAGAGGAGGGGGAGGGGGTATTCCCACTCCGGGAAGAGGAGGGGGAGGAGGTATTTCCTCCCCAGGCAAAGGTGGGGGAGGAGGTGGCAGCATTTCTGTACTAGGCATAAGAGGTGGGGGGACTGCTGTACTGAGCGGGGGCGGGGAGGGAGCCCCCATGCCCAGACCAGACACGGAGCTGGAAGACTGTGTGCAAGGCAGAGGTGGTGGGGGTGGGATGTTAGGGCCATTTGCGGAGGACGATGAAACAGACTGTTCATGGCTGGTCTCAAACTCAGTCTGAAGAGGACGGGAAGACTGGGACCTGGGCTGCCCTTGGCCATCAGACCACGGGAGGGGTGGAGGCGGTGGAGGCCGACCGGACGGGTGCGCGTCGACTTGGACAGATATTTGCCTGGGAGACACAATCAGAGAAATCTCTGAGCAGAATTTGGTCTGAGGTCCCGAAGGCGAGGCGGGCGCCGCGGGGTGGCCACTTGCGGCCTGCGGTGGCCACGAGAGGCACTCTGGCAGTGTCGCAGAAGGCAGGGCGGGCGCCCCGCGCTCTTCCGTCGGGGACGTCTGGATGGACTTGGCCTGTGAAATCCTTTGGTACTGGCCACGCCTTTCTCCTAACCTGAGAGCTTTGCCACAGACACCTTCCGAGGATGCCACTCCGTCGTGAGCCGCGTGCCGGCCGCTGGCCGCCCCCAGGTCCACGGCCGGGCACTGCTTCTCCAGTTCGGCTATTTTGGTCCTCAGATCCTCAATGGTCTGTTCCAGCTGCTGAATGACAGTTGCCTGTGCCTCGGATTTTATGTCCGCAACTTCCTGAGAGCAACAAAGACATAGTTAAATATAAAATAAGGAATACCCCAAACATTAAAAAAAAAAAAAAACTTACAGAATTCAGCAAAATAGATTTGTTATAATTCTTCTAGAAAGATCTCTCCACCTTCCAGCTTCACAGGAGTTTACATACATCGCCATACATTCCGAAGGCCTTTGCTGGGTAGTCTCTAAATGACTCACTGAAGGTAGCAGGTCACGGAAAACAGGAAGGAAACCCGAGAGGACTTCCTCACTCAGAATGGCTTCTCTTTACTGCCTGGTAACAGTTGCTATTAGGATGTTCTCTAAAGACGTTTTAAATAAGTTTTAGAGGCAATAACTACCTTGTAAATAAAGGTAAGCGCCTACAGAATCTCCAACAGGATTATGGGGAATATTTTTGATATCCATATAGGCATGAGCACACATACATGCACGTGTGTCAGGCCACGTATATCGTGTGTACTCTAATTTTAGTATTTTACCTAAGGCATTGAGAAAGCTGCTACCTTTTATGGCTCTCCCCAAGGTATAAAGAGGGCCGGTAACCCCTGTGCCAACGTGTGGGGTCACCCTCGTGTCTAAATGTCCCCTCCTTTCCAAGGCATAGATACAATCAACCACGAGTCCTTTGAGGAAAGAAATACTTTGGTTGGGAAAAAGGGGGAAAGTGGATGGGTAAATTAAATATGAAAAACAGATGAGTAAAAAAAAAAAAGAAAAGGAATGAATTTTTAAAAAGGAGGAAAAGGGAACAGCAAGAGGTAGGAGAGAAGGGGACAAACTCCGGCTACATGAGGCTCAATGTCAGACTGCTGCGCACACTCACTTGGAGGTGCGCACACTCACTTGGCTGTGCTCACACACTTGGATGTGCGCACAATCACTTGGATGTGCTCACACTCACTTGGCTGTGCTCACACACTTGGATGTGCACACACTCACTTGGATGTGCGCACACTCACTTGGATGTGCTCACTCACTTGGATGTGCGCACACTCACTTGGATGTGCTCACTCACTTGGATGTGTGCACACTCACTTGGATGTGCGCACACTCACTTGGCTGTGCTCACACACTTGGATGTGCGCACACTCACTTGGATGTGCTCACACTCACTTGGATGTGTGCATACTCACTTGGATGTGCGCACACTCACTTGGATGTGCTCACTAAGGCTGCAATGCAAGGGAGAGGGAGAGAGTTCAAAGCTGACAGCCATTTGTCCAGAGCGTCTCAGGCCTTTTCAAACGCAATCCCAGTCACGGCCACCAAACAGAGCCCCAGTCCACAGGCACACACCCTATTCTCTTCCCCACGTGGTGCCCCTGAAGCTACCACCCCACGTCTCCCTTTCCACACTGCGGGAGAATAAGAGGTAAGACGAAGATTATATTAAGTACAAAACTGAGCTCTTAGCCTGCTTGCCCAAGCTGAAACTTTGGGTCCAAGAAAAGTCTACCCCAAATAAAAAGTAAACTTTTTCTTTACTCTTCCTAAATCCAAAATAATACCTAACCCATCTGCAGTTGGAAAAACTGCAGATGGATGAAACAGAAATGGGCATACACTATAAATGAAGCATGTTTGATGCTATAAATATATTTGTTTAAAATATTAGTGTTTTTATCCTATAGGCATAAAAAGTTATAAATTCAGTAGTCTGAATCCTAACCACTGTTATTCCTTCCCTGGACATTTTGTCTTTCACTACATTAAACTTCCTGAAGCTCATGATGCTTGTTGCTAAGAGAACTTAGAACTTGATGGCCACGTCTCGTATACAGGGGACTTACTTTGCCTATCATCACAAAATACCAAGTAGCCCTTATTGTTGAAAGAAATTAAAAACAAAACTAATTTACTTTTGAAATAATAAAGAAATGTAACACACTTTAAATAGATAGGCAAAATTTTGATAGGCACTTTTTATTTATATGTAAATACAGGCATTCATATATATGTATACATACACACATATGAATATAAATCCTTTAAGTTCCTATTTTTCACCAATGTCTACACAAAATATTACAGTATTATAATGCATAGCTTGGAAAATCATGCCATGTATTCTCTAAATTATCCATGGTGAAAAAACTAACTACAATAACCAGTTTCTGATATACTGTTTGACCACTGTACTTAATTCTACTTTCCAATGATGCTGCTGTAAGAACAAGGAGAAACCAGAAGCCAGGAAACTAGCATCCAAATGCATCTGAATGAAAAGTACAACTATCCTTTCTTACCCTTGATGTGTAAAATGTATAGATGATTTTCATTTCTCCAGCACAACCTTGAAAATGACCCTGAGGCATTAATAGATATTTTTTAGTTATTCTGGTATATAAACAGGACTCTCTCATTTTCCCATCTATATAATGATCATATAAAAAGATTAGTTGGTGAAAGGCATGCACGAATTAAATTCTGGGAGAGTTTTCCAAAACTTAATTCTTAAATGTTATTATCTAAGCCAGCTCTTTTTCATCACAGATTTGAATATAATGAAAGCAGTATAAAAATTAAAGGATATTAAGAAAACAGAGGACAAGAAAGGAGAAATTGATCCTAAATCACAACCTATCACAATTGTTATTATTATACCTATTTTCTTCTTTTTTTAATCCTCACCTGAGGACATTTTTGCATTTATCTTCAGATAGAGTGGGAAGGAGAGAGGGAAGAGGAGAGAAAGAGAAACATTGACATGAGAGAGACACATTGAGTGGCTGCCAGCCACACGACCCCAACCGGGGCCGGGACAAACTGCAACCGAGGTACGTGCCCTTGGTGGGAACCGAACCCGGGTCTCTCTGGTCCATGGGCTGATGCTCTAATCGCTGAGCCAAACCAGCCAGGGCATTATACCTATTTTCTACGTGGATTTATGCCCCCATGTTTACAGCCCAGCTAATCCAACATAGCACCCAAAACAAATGATCATGGAAGTCATGGTATCAGTGGTTGGGAATATTCCTGAAATTTGTATCCTTTATATTATTATTATTTTTAATTCTCTTCTGAGGATATTTTTCCATTTATCTTCAGATAGAGTGGGAAGGAGGGAGACAGAGAGAAACATCGATGTGAGAGAGACACATCCACTGATTGCCTCCGCAACCCTGACCAGGGCTGGGGGGGGGGGGGGACTGCAACCGAGGTACGTAACCTTGACCAGAATCACACCTGTGACTCATTGATCTGTGGACGGACGCTTTAACTGCTGAGCCAAACTGCCCATGGCTCCTTTCTAGTTATTTGTACAGTCAGTGGAGAAAAGGTAAAGAAGTATACCATTGCACATGATAACTGGTACCAGAAAAAGACTTCTTATATGGAATTACTTAAGACAACTTGGCAGTTACTTTACCTAAATTGGCTCTCCCAACCTCCAGCTCCCTCTTATTCTGTGTATAAAAGTGGAAGAAAAACTACATCTATAGACTCCCTTGTAGCTAGGTTCATCCAATCAGGTGCAGTCATACAGAGAGGTAAAAAGTGCACAGAGGTAGGGGCGATACTCCTGGGTGCCTCGCCTGGTCTGTGAGCGAGCAGATGTGTTAACTTGGAGCTGCTCTGAAACAACATTCAATGTCCCCTCTCCAGTTTCAAATGGCAGACTCAATGGATTTAACTTCCCTACTACGCCAGTTGTGTACGATTCCTACTATCCCAGCTGTATGATTCCTACTATCCCAGCTGTATGATTCCTACTGTCCCAGCTGTATGATTCCTACTATCCCAGCTGTCTATGATTCCTACTATCCCAGCTGTCTACGATTCCTACTATCCCAGCTGTATGATTCCTACTATCCCAGCTGTATGATTCCTACTATCCCAGCTGTCTACGATTCCTACTATCCCAGCTGTATGATTCCTACTATCCCAGCTGTCTATGATTCCTACTATCCCAGCTGTCTACGATTCCTACTATCCCAGCTGTATGATTCCTACTATCTCAGCTGTCTATGATTCCTACTGTCCCAGCTGTCTATGATTCCTACTATCCCAGCTGTCTATGATTCCTACCATCCCAGCTGTATGATTCCTACTATCCCAGCTGTGTAGGATTCCTACTATCCCAGCTGTCTATGATTCCTACCATCCCAGCTGTATGATTCCTACTATCCCAGCTGTATGATTCCTACTATCCCAGCTGTATGATTCCTACTGTCCCAGCTGTGTATGATTCCCACTATGCCAGCTGTATGATTCCTACTATCCCAGCTGTATGATTCCTACTATGCCAGCTGTATGATTCCTACTATCCCAGCTGTATGATTCCTACTATCCCAGCTGTATGATTCCTACTATGCCAGCTGTATGATTCCTACTATCCCAGCTGTATGATTCCTACTATCCCAGCTGTATGATTCCTACTATGCCAGCTGTATGATTCCTACTATCCCAGCTGTATGATTCCTACTGTCCCAGCTGTCTATGATTCCTACTATCCCAGCTGTATGATTCCTACTATCCCAGCTGTATGATTCCTACTATCCCAGCTGTCTGATTCCTACTATCCCAGCTGTATGATTCCTACTATCCCAGCTGTATGATTCCTACTATCCCAGCTGTCTATGATTCCTACTATCCCAGCTGTATGATTCCTACTATCCCAGCTGTATGATTCCTACTGTCCCAGCTGTCTATGATTCCTACTATCCCAGCTGTATGATTCCTACTATCCCAGCTGTATGATTCCTACTGTCCCAGCTGTCTATGATTCCTACTATCCCAGCTGTATGATTCCTACTATCCCAGCTGTATGATTCCTACTATCCCAGCTGTCTGATTCCTACTATCCCAGCTGTATGATTCCTACTATCCCAGCTGTATGATTCCTACTGTCCCAGCTGTCTATGATTCCTACTATCCCAGCTGTATGATTCCTACTATCCCAGCTGTATGATTCCTACTGTCCCAGCTGTCTATGATTCCTACTATCCCAGCTGTATGATTCCTACTATCCCAGCTGTATGATTCCTACTATC